TATATATATATATAAATATATACTTTGTCCTTGTTTAATTATGTTGGTTTTTCATTTTATGCTGCACGGGATTTGAACAAACAGACTGTACAATATGTGCGTTCTATTCTCAACCATTCTTCTCAGCATTTCTAACCAGCAACACGACTCACCCCTTTGGTTTCGACCTGGAGGGCGGGATGCACGAACTGTAGCCAATGTTGACCCTAAATTCTTCATAGCCCAACGCCAGGTCATAGTTTGAGCGCTGCGACGCTTCCTCCAGACTTGTTCAGAACGTGCAACGAGAGCATATTTTTTGTGATGCTCAGCAGACGGGATGAACCCTGTACCAAAGAGGACCTGCTGTCCAGTGATGGATACCGGTAACCTAAGCCCCCCGACTTGGAGTGGCGAAGCTCATAAGGCCCCGCTGGGTTAGGCGTGGTATAGAACCGGACAACAGCAAAGCTGCCTAACACCAAAGTTGGGTGGCGGTGGCGAAGTTCGAACCTCGGACGATTGGGTGCAAAGCAGGCTGGTGACAGTGACTAAACCACTGCATCGCCACCACCCGAGGTAAACGATAGACAGGCAAATGCAAAACGTGTCCAAGCCATCGAAGGCTTTGCACAGTGACCCCTTCCTTTAGAGGACGACTATTCTCACCCAGCACACGACAACACTGGGTCACATAGATTCCGTTGAGCGCCTTGGATGGTGACCCGTGGTTAGAGACGCTGGATGTCGCAAACAGTGGTGCTTATACATCTACTCAATATTCTTGCAACCCCAGTTTATATGAATTCTCCTTAAAACCCAAAGGCCGCAACCAAAACCGGTTTAAGAAAGGGCGTGGTTAATGAATGTGAAAACTGAAACTGAACTGAATGCTTCCGTTGATCGTCCGCGACTGCTTCCTAAATAAACCCAGCGCCACCCTATTCATGGTTATGTGCCAATCTATGACCTTTGCCCCATCCATCACCTGAGGATGCCGTTGGAAGCACACAGCTCTGCTCTTTCGAGCTCTGATGCATAATAGAAGGATTATGGTTTTAGTTGTCTCTTTGCAACCTCTGAATTCGGCTCAAAGTTGGAAAGAATAAACAGAAGATTACCGCAAATAATTTTATTAGATCAGACTGTGGGCTACACCATCGCATCGCATTGCCAATTTTCTGCAATCCCGTACATACATACGGTCTGTTTCCTTCAGCCTTACGGTTCAGTGTGATTTAAAAATTTAATGTAAAAACCTACGTAGCCAAATCGCGAATCGGTCGTGTGGATTTATCGGTAATATTGAATATTCATTAACTTAACTGTAGGTCAACTTTGTAGCACCGTGTAATCCTTTTCATTTTGAGGGCGTTTCTCGGCTCACAGCATAATCCCACTTCGACCGATGTGTGCTCAACAGCTTTTATTTATTGATCGTTCCTCTTTGCTTTCCTCTTTTCACACCAGACTAATGGTGTGAAGGCACACGGTGATGGGGCTCCATTCAAGAATTCTCCATACAAGGGTAACTTGTTAGATTCAACGATGCCGAAATCGAATTCGATTCGTGTCGAATATGCTGAAATAGGAACCACTGGCGATCGGCGCCGCACTCCGAATGGGGATTCACGACAACTCCAACATCGCTCTCCGAACGTGTTGTCACCATCATCGGAACAATATGTGAGTTTATTCGTTTTACTTCTCTTGTACGACCTCTGTAATGCTGTCCTGTGACCCAGTCCATCATCAAAATATAAACTTGGGCATGAACTTCACCAGTTTCGACTATCTATCTACCTATCTGGCTGTCTGTCTGCATTGGTTGTTCCGATCCAATCAGTGATTGATGCATTTCATTCACTGTTTTGACTGACCGCTCAGTGCACCTCACCGGGAGAATATTCATGTTTTTTGTCAGGTTTTATGTCAGATGCCTCAGCCCATTGGTCTCACTACTTTATCAGTTGTCTGTTTCGAGATAACGGACCGATTTCCAACATGTTTTTTGTCGCTGTAGGTAACGACCTGAGTAGCTGAACCTCCAGTTTCTTATTTCCACAATGGCGGACATTGCTGAACCCACAAACGCTTCCCGTTTCGGATGATAATATTCGAATCGGTTTTCAGTTAACCTTTCCTTGGACGTCTCTGAAATTTTACAAAGCGAAAGTCAATGTTGATTTGAATAACTGATGCTAATGAACGGCTGGTTTAAAATGAACTGAATCAAACTTAGGTCTGTCCTTCACTCAGCACAAGTCCAAGTCTATGTAATCTGGTCTAGATAAAAGTGATGCCGTTACCTTCGGTGGAACAAACTCCAAAGTCGATTTCTTCTTCCACACACACACACACACACACACACACACACACACACACACACACACTGTTCTGTGCGAACACATTGTCTACGGTCTCGGATGGAATCTCCCAAATAGCGAACACGATCATCAGGTCCTGTGTGCAAACGCTGACAGAAAATGCCCTGAGTTACTGTCCTAAAAACCAGTTCGTATACTCTACTGACAAGTGACAAGTGATCTTTCAAATGTGTACACACAAATAGCGTCTGCTGTTAAATATGGTAATTTTTATACTCGCACGAATTAGTCTCAACACCAAATTCCCAAACAATCGTCTTCCTTTAACGTTTCTCGTTCAGATAGCGCTTCTACTGTTAGTCGACCAAACATCTGGAAACGTGTAACAATTCATTTATTGTACGAAGTGTATGCTTATTTAAAAGAATGATGGAAGGCGTGGAAATGCAAATACACCGAATGGTGAACTAGATTGTGGTGAATCGTTTTCATTGGTTATTGGCTCTGACCATTCCCACCTATCTGTGTTCAAATTGGTTATCCCATAACTAAGCAGTTTTCAGCGAGTAACCCAACTCCTCTCAGCTGTTTTAGTCTGAGACTGTCCGCTCTATGATGTATCTATGTAGTTCACTCACGTTTGAATCCACAGTGATCCAAACAAGTCATAGTACCATAATATTTGTAACAAAAAGCGATCGAAGTTGTTGGTTCGCTTAGAACGGCCCTGGGGGTCTCCTTTTTCTCTGAGCGTTTGTTCAGTTTCGACGTTCCTAGAGCCACGCCTACTAGTAAAGAGTAGTGCTGCCAGCTTCACTCGATATAATTACCTTAACTTCCATGGCAAGGCCGCTTATTCCAGCCGCGGTGTGTTTGATTCCAATTGCGCCTAAGTTCTTAGCGTTTGTTTTATTACACAGAGTAAGCCCATTTTGCGATCGTGAAGTAACGATCATGGATGAAATCAGTCGTTACCCGTTGCTACCAAGTGTATGTCATCAGTTTGCGTAATCATGAAATGGGTTGCATCCCACTGCGAACCTACGTTTACTTTGAAAAATTGGTCAACATTTGACTGTTTTCAAACGCTTTAAAAATGCGTTATTTCTGAACAACACTATTCACGTTCGATGTGCGTAGACCGTTTTCATGGTGCACTGATGACGTCGCTTTGGATTAGTATATTATTTTTCCCGTCATTTATCGTCTGCCATCAAACGGAAACACTACGTTTGTCAAACGTTCAAGGTTAAGCGGCAGACGAAGCGATGGCCGAATGGGAACAGCTTCCAGTGGGGAGTACAAATCACGGTTAAAAACTACTGCAAGAATTAGATATATATCTTATAAAAAAAACTAGCTTTACACGAGAGGCAATAAGAAGGAAAACACTTTCGAATGATGATATTTTTTAAATTAAATTAAATTACTCCGTTTTACATAACAAACGCGATGAGCGCATGGCTTTTGCCCAGTGAAAAAAATTCGCAATTAAGTAGGTG